ATGAATTCCTGCGGGCACGAAAGCTTTTAAATCAACAACATTATAAACACCATCAACAACATCAACACCATCAACACCATCAACATCATCATTATCAACAACACCATCAACAACATCAACACCATCAACATCATTATCAACAACACCATCAACATCATCAACACCATCAACAACATCATCATCAACAACATCATCAACAACATCAACATCATCAACATCTCTTCTAGATTTAAAGCTTTCGTGACTGCTAGGATCCATACTCTTTGGTTCTATTGGGTAAAGTCACGTAGGTGAAAATAAAATAACAAAAAATCACGACGTTTCGGCCACAACACAAGCGGCCTTCATCAGGTGAAGGGACGAGACTGTCTGGAGGACAGCGCTGGAGTGGAAGAAGCCACACTTAGATCACGACCTTTAAGCTGTGTGAGAAGAAAAAGACCACGCGCCTTGACAAAGGAATTAGCATATAATTTAGCATTGAAATGGCTCATTGAAATAGCTAAGTTAAAGTATACACATCCGCAGAGGTACCCCTTGACAAAGGAATTAGCGCTGGAGTGGAAGAAGCCACGCTTAGATCACGACCTTTAAGCTGTGTGAGAAGAAAAAGGCCAAGTGCCTTGACAAAGGAATTAGCATATAATTTAGCATTGAAATGGCTCATTGAAATAGCTAAGTTAAAGTATACACATCCGCAGAGGTACCCCTTGACCAAGGAATTAGCATCAAATTTAGCATTGAAATAGCTGAGTAATTAGCTTGTAACTGGTCACAGAAATAGCTATGTTAAAGTTAGAGCATATACATTCACCGAGGCACCTAGTACTCATCAAACAGGATAATTTAGCGAAACACAACCACGCTCAGACATCGGACCTGTGTGCGAGCAAACAAGGTGTTCTGACAAAGAAATTAGCATAAAAATTAGCATTTGATTGGCGGATTTTTGGAAAGAGGTGGTGTACATGCCGGTGGACTTGCAGTTTGGCGTGGGGGGGGGGGGGAAAGGGGGGATGGGGAGTTTACCTATTGATGGTGTGAAAAGGGGGAATTTATAAGAGCTGCGAAAGTTTGGGGTACCACTACTTGAAAAATATACTGTACCACTGAAATTAGTTTAATGTTTAGTTCGATTTAGAACATCTTTCCAATGGTTGCTTAATTTGAAACCATCCTCTCGGTTGAAAATGAATTCTTCTGCCGTAGCTGATCACTGTTACAACGCTGTGGGGGATCACGATATAATTTTCTCCGATACCAAGGTTCTTTGTAAACCCATGGGCTTTTGAGAGATTTGTTCATGAAGCAATTCAGATCTACAAACACAGACACAATTTAAACGGAGAGGATGGTTTCAAATTAAGGAACCATTGGAAAGATGTTCTAAATCGAACTAAACATTAAACTAATTTCAATGGTACAGTATATTTTTCAAGTAGTGGTACCCCAAACTTTCGCAGCTCTTATAAATTCCCCCTTTTCACACCATCAATAGGTAAACTCCCCCTCCCCCCTTTCCCCCCCCCGCCCCGCGCCAAACTGCAAGTCCACCGGCACGTACACCACCTCTTTCCTAAAATCCGCCAATCAAATGCTAATTTTTATGCTAATTTCTTTGTCAGAACACTTTGTTTGCTCGCACACAGGTCCGATGTCTGAGCGTGGTTGTGTTTCGCTAAATTCTCCTGTTTGATGAGTACTAGGTGCCTCGGTGAATGTATATGCTCTAACTTTAACATAGCTGTTTCTGTGACCAGTTACAAGCTAATCACTCAGCTATTTCAATGCTAAATTCTATGCTAATTCCTTGGTCAAGGGGTACCTCTGCGGATGTGTATACTTTAACTTAGCTATTTCAATGAGCCATTTCAATGCTAAATTATATGCTAATTCCTTTGTCAAGGCACTTGGCCTTTTTCTTCTCACACAGCTTAAAGGTCGTGATCTAAGCGTGGCTTCTTCCACTCCTGCGTTAATTCCTTTGTCAAGGGGTACCTCTGCGGATGTGTATACTTTCACTTAGCTATTTCAATGAGCCATTTCAATGCTAAATTATATGCTAATTCCTTTGTCAAGGCAATTTGTGTTTTTCTTCTCACACAGCTTAAAGGTCGTGATCTAAGCGTGGCTTCTTCCACTCCAGCGCTGTCCTCCAGACAGTCTCGTCCCTTCACCTTATGAAGGCCGCTTGTGTTCTGGCCGAAACGTCGTGATTTTTTGTTATTTTATTTTCAACTACGTGACTTTACCCAATAGAACCAAAGAGTATCAACAACATCATCATCAACAACAACATCATCAACAACATCAACATCATAAACAACATCATCAACAACATCATCAACAACATCAACAACATCAACAACAACATCATCATCAACTACCACTACTGCTACAACCACTACTACTCCTACTACTGCTGCTGCTGCCTCAGCTGCCTTAGCTGCCACTGCTGCCGCTGCCACAGCTGCCGCTACTGCCGCTGCTGCAGCTGCTGCTGCTGCTGCCGCAGCTGCCACAGCTGCCACTGCCACTGGCGCTGCCACTGGTGGTGCTGCTGCTGCCACTGCTGCTGGCGCTGCTGCTGCCGCTGCCGCTCCAGGCATCTCTGCGACAGGAAGTGCTCCCTGCCCCAGCCGCCATTCCTGAAGCTGTCGTGCAACTCGCGGTGAGCCCAGAGAGCGGCGAGCAGAACCTTGGCGGCAAACCGATCCTGGCTCAGCGCCGTCCTGAGGCAGCAGCAAGCACGGACACACGCCCGCCACAGACGCTCAACAAAGATACAAAGGTCCACCGTGTAGCCTTAACATACCGTAGGGGCGAGTGGTGCCGTTAGCGAGCGCCTGTGAAGGCCGGTAACGGCACGCGAGGGGGTGGGTGGCCAGAACCACGCCCGGCCGCCTTTGTCTCCCTAGTGGCGATGTTTGCTACACACAGCACCGGGTACTCATTTGAGGCTGAGTCGACCTAGGGGAGACTCAGAACCGGTTCAGATAATCATCACTGGTGTTGGCCATTGAGCGGGAATCGAACCCGGGTCGCCAGGTTCCTAGCGCGGCGTAGCGCTAACCGCTACACTACCGCTCCCACATACAAGTACACACTCACAGATACACACACAGACACACACACAGACACACACACAGACACAAAGACAAAGATCCCCCATATAGCCTTAACAGACTGTAGGGGCAAGTGCTGTTTGCGAGCACCTATGAAGGCCAGACACACACACACACAGACACACACACATACACACACAGATACACACAGACACACACACACACAGATACACACACACACACACAGACACACACACAGATACATACAGATACACATAGACACATACACACAGACACAAACACAGATACACACAGACACACACACAGATACACACACGCAGATACACACACACACACACAAAGCCAAAGATCCCCAGCTGTGTAGCCTCAGCGGAATGTAGGGGTAAGTGCTGTTAGTAGCGAGCAGTAGCGCCTATGACAGCCGGCGCTGTGACATACCACGTGGTGGGTGGTCAGCACCACGCCTGGTGAGTGGTGGTGAGTGTGGGTGGTGAGCGTGGTGAGAGTGATGAGAGTGGTGAGTGTGGGTGGTGAGAGTGATGAGAGTGGTGAGTGTGGTGAGAGTGGTGAGCGTGGTGAGTGAGAGTGGTGAGTGTGTGTGGTGAGTGTGGGTGGTGAGAGTGGTGAGAGTGGTGGTGAGTGTGGGTGGTGAGAGTGGTGAGCGTGGTGAGCGTGGTGAGCGTGGTGAGAGTGGTGAGAGTGGTGAGGGTGGTGAGCGTGGTGAGAGTGGTGAGTGTGGTGAGAGTGATGAGAGTGGTGAGAGTGGTGAGTGTGGTGAGGGTGGTGAGCGTGGTGAGAGTGGTGAGCGTGGTGAGCGTGATGAGTGAGTGAGTGGTGAGTGAGTGGTGAGTGAGAGTGGTGAGTGAGTGGTGAGTGTGAGTGGTGAGTGAGAGTGGTGAGTGGTGAGTGAGAGAGTGGTGAGTGAGTGAGAGTGGTGAGTGAGTGGTGAGTGTGAGTGGTGAGTGATGGTGGTGAGTGTGAGTGGTGAGTGAGAGAGTGGTGAGTGTGAGTGAGTGTGTGTGGTGAGTGTGAGTGGTGAGTGGTGAGTGAGTGGTGAGTGAGTGTGGTGAGTGGTGAGTGAGTGTGGTGAGTGTGAGTGTGAGTGGTGAGTGTGTACTTCCCCCCCACCCACCGGCTGGTGTGGATGTCCACGACTCGCCCCACGCCACCGCTGGCCTGCAGGCGCTGAGCGTTGGCGGCGCTGCCGCACACCAGCGCAGTGAGCGCCCAGAGCACCGCCGACACCCTGTCCTCACCCAGCCGGGAGGCCTCACCACCACCCTCACCACCCTCACCACCCTCACCACCCTCAGCACCCTCACCACCACCCTCACCACCACCCTCCTCACCACCCTCGCCACCCTCACCACCCTCACCCTCACCACCCTCACCACCCTCACCACCCTCACCACCACCCTCCTCACCACACTCACCCTCACCACCCTCACCACCCTCACCCTCACCATCACCACCACCATCACCACCCTCCACACCACCCTCACCACCCTCACCACCCTCGCCAACAACCGGCAGCATCAGGGTGAGGATCCTCACGCCGTTGTACAGCCCTGGGGAGTGCGGGGAGACGGTGGTGAGCGGCCTCCATCACCACCCCCATCACCACCTGAATCATCATCGTCATGACCTCCATCACCACCCCCATCACCACCTGAATCATCACCTCCATCACCACCTCCATCACCACTCCCATCACCACCTGAATCATCATCATCACCTCCATCACCACCATCATCACCTCCATCCACATCTCCATCATCACCTCCCTCCCATCACCTCTATCACCACCCCCATCACCACCTCCCTCCCATCACCTCTATCACCACCCCCATCGCCACCTCCCTCCCCCCCATCACCTCTATCACCACCCCCATCACCACCTCCCTCCACCCCCCATTACCACCTCCCCCGCGTCCCACCGATGAGTCTCTGGCTGTTGGGGTCATTCCGAGCGAGGACTCGCACAGCGTTGACCGAGGTGAACGCCAGCAGCCGTCGATGGCTCCGCAGCTGCTTCAGGAGGCAGGGCAGCCCCCCGCTGTGAGCGACAACCACGCCTGCCAACGCCGACCACTGCTCGCGACGACGCACGGCAACAAGACAGCACCACGCAGACGGCGCGTCACACGGTGAGCGTTGCTAGGGAGCGTTGCTAGGGAGCGTTGCTAGGGAGTGTTGGTAGGGAGCGTTGGTAGGGAGCGTTAGTAGCGAGTGTTGCTAGGGAGCGTTGTTAGGGAGCGTTGGTAGGGAGCGTTAGTAGCGAGCGTTGCTAGGGAGCGTTGGTAGCGAGCGTTGCTAGCGAGTGTTGGTAGGGAGCGTTGCTAGGGAGCGTTGTTAGTGAGCATTGCTAGCGAGCGTTGCTAGCGAGCGTTGCGAGCGAGCGTTGCTAGCGAGCGTTGGCAGGGAGCGTTGCTAGGGAGCGTTAGTAGCGAGCATTGCTAGGGAGCGTTAGTAGCGAGCGTTGCTAGGGAGCGTTAGTAGCGAGCGTTGCTAGCGAGCGTTGGTAGCGAGCGTTGGTAGGGAGAGTTAGTAGCGAGTGTTGCTAGGGAGCGTTGTTAGGGAGCGTTGGTAGGGAGCGTTGTTAGGGAGCGTTGGTAGCGAGCGTTGCTAGCGAGCGTTGGTAGGGAGCGTTGCTAGGGAGCGTTGTTAGCGAGCGTTGCTATGGAGCGTTGCTAGCGAGCGTTGCTAGCGAGCGTTGGCAGGGAGCGTTGCTAGGGAGCGTTAGTAGTGAGCGTTGCTAGGGAGCGTTAGTAGCGAGCGTTGTTAGGGAGCGTTAGTAGCGAGCGTTGCTAGGGAGCGTTAGTAGCGAGCGTTGCTAGCGAGCGTTGGTAGCGAGCGTTGGTAGGGAGCGTTGGTAGCGAGCGTTGGTAGGGAGCGTTGGTAGCGAGCGTTGGTAGGGAGCGTTGGTAGGGAGCGTCGATAGCGAGCGTTGGTAGGGAGCGTTGGTAGGGAGCGTCGATAGCGAGCGTTAGTAGCGAGTGTTGCTAGGGAGCGTTGGTATCGAATGTTACTAGGGAGCGTTGTTAGGGAGCGTTAGTAGCGAGCGTTGGTAGCGAGCGTTGCTAGGGAGCTTTAGTAGCGAGTGTTGCTAGGGAGCGTTGTTAGCGAACGGGGGCAGGAGGAGCGACGCTCACAACAACGAGCGGAGCGCCGGGGTGGCTAAAACGCGGCGAGTTGGCGCAGTAGGGGGCACGGGTGGTGGTGCAACGGCCGGCGGTCATCTCCTCAGTCGGTTGACCCCACGGCACCTGGCGGGTCCGCACCGCGACCTCCTGCCGGCCCTAGACGTGCACACGGCCTGGCGCGGGTGTTGGTTTTATGGTGCAGTGAGCCCCCACCTCGGTGTCTCTGCTGGCCAGGGTGTAGATGATGCTGGTTGCCGATTCCAGGACGACCGGGTTGTGTGACTGCTGCAGCAGGGACACGTAGCAGCTGACCGCGTCGGGTTGGTACAGCAGCTCACAGCCTGCACAACGCCCGTACATCATAAACTACTACACACCACACTACCATACACTACACTACTATACACAATACTATACACTACTACACTACTATACAGTACTATACACTACACTACTATACACTGCAGAATACACTACACTACTATACACTACACTATACACTACTATACACTACACTATACACCACACTACCATACACTACACTACTATACACTACACTACTATACACTGCAGACTACACTACACTCTATACCATACACAACACATTATATTACACTATAAACTACACTACAGACTACACTAAACTACTATACTACACTATACACTACACCACCCTACCATACACTACACTGATAATACGTTTTTCCCCTTTTTCTGGCAACAAAACAGCTGTGTTAAGATGTTAAAACACCAAACTGAAACCTTTTACAAGGAATCTGTACCAGTACACTACACTATACACAACACTATACACTACACTATACACTACTATACACTATAAACTACACTATACACTACTATACACTACACTATACAAGACACTATACACTACACTATACACTACACTATATACTACTATACACTACACTACTATATACTACACTATACACTACACTACTATACACTACACTACTATACACTATACACTACTATACACTATACACTACACTAGTAGACACTACACTACACACTACTACACTACACTATACACTACACTATACACTACATTATACACTACACTACACACTAGTGCTGTACTAGTGACGAATTGGCCACGTTCTGTTTACGTGACAACCCTTACTAGGTGGCTGTGTCGGGTGGTGGTGGGTTTTAACGACTCAACATTTATATATTTACGTGATCTAACCCAAAAAAACTCTATTATGTACACTATACACGACTATACACTAACTATACATTACACTACACACGACACGAATATACACTACACTGTACACTACACTGTACACTACACTATACACTACACAGAGAGAAGTAGGCGCGCAGTTTCAGGACTCACTGTGAGGAGGAGGAGGGAGGGGTATGAGGAGGGGGGTGAGGGGGAGAAGAGTGAGAAGGAGGGGGTGAAGGAGGGGGAGGAGGAGGTCGAGGAGGGGGAGGAGGGGGGGAGGAGGATGAGCAGGAGGTGGAGGAGGAGGCGAGGATGAGAAGGAGGAAGGGAAGGAGGCTGCTGCTGTATCTGTGAGTGCTGCGACTCAGGACTGACCGCGGGGAGGAGGGAGGGGGAAGGGAGGGGGGAGGGAGGGGGAGAGGGGGTGAGTGAGGGTGTGAGTGAGGGTGTGAGTGAGGGTGTGAGTGAGTGAGTGTGTGTGAGTGAGGGTGTGAGTGAGGGTGTGAGTGAGGGTGTGAGTGAGTGTGAGTGAGGGTGTGAGTGAGGGTGTGAGTGAGGGTGTGAGTGAGGGGTGTGAGTGAGTGAGGGAGTGAGTGAGGGTGTGAGTGAGGGTGTGAATGAGGGTGTGAGAGGGGTGTGAGTGAGTGAGAGGGAGTGAGTGAGTGAGTGAGGGAGTGAGTGAGGGAGTGAGGGAGTGAGTGAGGGAGTGAGTGAGAGGGGAGTGAGTAAGGGAGTGAGTGAGGGTGTGAGTGAGAGGGGAGTGAGTGAGGGAGTGAGAGGGGAGTGAGTGAGGGTGTGAGAGGGGAGTGAGGGTGTGAGTGAGGGTGTGAGTGAGGGGGGTGACAGTGGCCACCTGTTTTACGGGTCGTGATGTGCACGCTCAGCTGGTGCATGATGCAGACTGCATCCTCCACCGCCTGCGGACACAGACAGACCACGGCAGATGAAGGCAAAGATCCCCCGTGTAGCCCGTGGCAGACCGTAGGGGACAGTGCTGTTAGTTGCTCATGAGGGGGTGGATGGCCAGCGCCGCGGACATTACACACACACACATACACGCAGACATACACACACACATACATACACACACGCACACATACACACACACATACATACACACACATACATACACACACGCATACATACACACCTACACACACGTGGACATACACACACGCATACATACACACGCGCACACATACATACATACATACACACATACACACACGTACACATACACACATACACACGCGCACACACACATACACACATGCACACACAAGCACCTTGGTGTGGGGGTCACCTGAGTCTCGGTGTTGTGCCCTTTGAGTGCCGAGCGGATGAAGTGCAGCACGCAGTCCACCAGCCCCTCGCACTGCCGCACGCTCAGCCACATGTTCGAGCTCAACTCCCTGGAACGTCACGAACGTCACGTCAACCACGACGTCACCGCCGTGACGTCAACCCTGACGTCACCGCCGTGACGTCAACCCTGACGTCAACCCTGACGTCACCACCGTGACGTCAACCCTGACGTCACCGCCGTCACGTCAACCCTAACGTCACCGATGTAACATCAACCACGACGTCACCGCCGTGATATCAACCACGACGTCACCGCCGTGACGTCAACCACGACGTCACGGACGTCACAACAACCACGACGTCACCGCCGTGACGTCAACCCTGACGTCACTGACGTCACATCAACCACGACGTCACCGACGTCACATCAACCACGTCACTCCCGTCGTGGTTGACGTCACCGCCGTGACGTCAGGGTTGACGTCACCGCCGTGACGTCAACCCTGACGTCACCGACGTCACGTCAACCACGACGTCACCGCCGTGACGTCGTGGTTGACGTCACCGCCGTGACGTTAACCACGACGTCACAACAACCATGACGTCACCGCTGTGACGTTGTGGTTGACGTCACCGCCGTGACGTCAACCAGGACGTCACCGACGTCACATCAACCACGACGTCACCGACGTCACATCAACCACGACGTCACCGACGTCACATCAACCACGACGTCACCGCCGTGACGTCTGCCTCGGCGCGCCTTACCGCAGGCACTTCAGGGTGTTGCAGAATGCCGCGGAGGGCGAGGAAGGCGAGCAGGGCAAGGCGGGCGAGGTGAGCGAGGTGAGCGAGGTGGATGAGGTGGGCAAGGAGGGTGAGGTGAGCGAGGTGAGCGAGGTGGATGAGGTGGGCGAGGAGGGTGAGGTGGGCGAGGAGGGTGAGGTGAGCGAGGTGGGTGAGGTGGGCGAGGTGAGCGAGGTGGGTGAGGTGAGCAAGGTGGATGAGGTGAGCGAGGTGGATGAGGTGAACGAGGTGGATGAGGTGAGCGAGGTGGATGAGGTGAACGAGGTGGGTGAGGTGGGCGAAGTGGATGAGGTGAGCGAGGTGGATGAGGTGAGCGAGGTGGATGAGGTGAGCGAGGTGGATGAGGTGAACGAGGTGGGTGAGGTGGGCGAGGCTCCCCGGTTGCTGATCCAGCCGCTCTCCGGCACCATCACGAGCTCCACCAGTGCCGGCAGGCAGCACACCAGTGCCACCCTCAGAGACTCGTGGTACGTCAGGTTGCACAGCGTGCCTGGGGCATCATCATCACTGGATCATCATCATCACCATATTATCATCATCATCATCATTACCAGATCATCATCACCAGATCATCATCATCATCACCAGATCATCATCATCACCAGTTCATCATCACATCATCATCACCAGATCATCATCATCATCACCAGATTATCATCACCGGATCATCATCATCACCAGATCATTATCATCATCACCAGATCATCATCATCACATCATCATCACCAGATCATCATCATCACCAGATCATCATCGTCATCACATCATCATCATCACCAGATCATCATCATCACCAGATCATCACCACCACCAGCAGGTCACCACGAAGGCTGGTGCGTTGTTACCGGTGATCCTCTCCAGGGCGTGAGGGTTTCGAGTGCGTCCCAGCAGGCTGGCGAGGGCGGCGACGCCGCCCCTGTTGCAAAGCGCCAACGCACCAACACGGCTGGAGCTGAGGGCTTGCAACGCCTCGCACACGAACACACACACCTGTGGGGGCACGCGGAGGTGAGGAGATGCACACACAAGACACACACACATACACACAGACACACACACACACACCTGTGGGGGCACGCGGAGGTGAGGAGATACACACACAAGACACACACAGACACAACAATAACAACCGCCATTCGCCACTAAGTGGCGGTGACGTCACCACGACGCTTGTGCCAGGCTATGTGCACCCTGAGGCCACGTGAAGTGTCGAACGCCCGCTGGCAGGAGGTCACGGGGCAGACCCAGGTGCCACGGGTCGACTGACTGAGATGACTGGCTGATGCACCACCTGTGCCCCCTACTGTGCCAACCTGCTGTGCTTTCGCCACCCGGCGCTCCGCTCGTTGTTGTGAGCGTCGCTCCTCCGCCCTCCGTTGTTGTTGGAGGGCGACTACCTCCAACTGCCCAGTAGCATCCTTCACGAGCCTCCTCCACAGAGGCCGATCTTGACACCGCTGGTACCAGTCATCGGCAAGTCCACTCAGCTCCACGTTCCTCCTGTACCATATCACTCCATCTCTTCTCTAGCCCGTGCAGCGCCCGCTTAGCCCCCTCAATCCGGCCGAACAAAAGCTGTTTCGGCATGCGGTGGCTGGGCATGCGGGCTACATGACCCAGCCATCGCAGCCTTGCCCGCCGGAGAAGCTCACCGATGGGACCTTGCCCAGATCTTTCAAGGATTTGTGAGCTCCTCACACAATCCAGTCTGGTTCAACCCGGTATGGATCGTAGGCAGGCCAGCCTAAATGTTTCTAACCGGCGAAGATGTTCCATTAGCGGGGTCCACGTTTCGCAAGCGTAGAGAAGGGAGGGAATGACCGTGGCCGAGAAGACCTGACGCTTAGTGCAGAGCGACAGACCAGGTAGCTTCCACACAGCGTTACGCAACCGATGAAAGGATATTGCCGCTCGACTGATTCGGAGTGAGACCTCTGCTGTTAAACTGGAGCCAGTCATAAGCACACTGCCCAGGTATGGGAAACACTCCACTTTCTCCACAACTGCCCCATCACCGATTGGGAGTTGTGGGGGTGGAGTGTCCGATGGTACAAAATACCCAGGCAGGTGCTTAGTTTTGGTGGGGCTGATGGTAAGGCCCCACCTCTTAGTGGCATGCTCCAGTCTCAGCAGCAGCGTCTCCAACTCCTCCTCTGACTGAGCAGCTATTACCAAATCATCAGCATACATAACGTGTTTGAGCAATAGGGAGCCATCCCTTGACCGCACCCGGGCATCAATCAGCCTCCCATTATATCTGTACCATATGGAGATTCCCCCGGTAGAGCTATTGAAGGCTTCACGAACTACGTGGTCAAAATAGATGTTAAATAATGTGGGAGCCAGAGGACATCCCTGTCGCACCCCAAGGTGTACAGGGAATGGCTCTGACTCCCGGCCACGTAGTTTTACCCGGGCCCGCTCACCATCATGAAGGTCCTTAATGATCGTGAGCAGAGGGTCAGGTACTCCAAAAGCACGAAGAACGACCCAGAGCCCAGGCCTACTGATGGTATCATAGGCCTTGACCAGGTCAATAAAGCAGAGATGTCGGTCTTGTTGGAATTCCCTACACCTCTGCTGTAGCAGACGGACAGAAAATATGGCATCTGTGCAGGACCGCCCTTTCCTGAAACCACATTGGGGCTCCGCAAGCCTCTCCTCAGCGTGCCTGGCAAGGCGATGCTGAATAATCCTTGCCAGGACCTTTCCTGGCACACTGAGTGAGATGCCCCTGTAGTTGTTACAGTCTGTGCGGTCCCCCTTCTTAAAAAGGGGGACCACCAGGGCATCCTTCCAATCCTGCAGAACCCGTCCAGTGGTCCAGACTGTTGTTATGATATCATATAGGGCAGTCTGTGCACAAACGCCACCCTCCCTCAGCATTTCGCTTAGGAGATCATCTCTGCCCGCTGCCTTTCCTGGTCTCAGACTCCGGATCGCCTTCAGTACTTCCTCAGCAGACGTCACCTCAGCCAGCCACTCACAGGGGGTGACTTCTTCCAATATTTGAGGCACCGCAGCCTCAGCAGGGTCATCCTCACTTTGTGCCACGATGTTTTCCTGGCTGAGGGATTTTCCCTCCCCCAGGACCTCACAGAAATGCTCAGCAAATCTGCAAACCTGTTCCTGGGGGTCGGAGATTGGATCACCGTTTTTTCCCCTAATGATGGTAATAGGTGTGGCGCTGCAGGTTACTTTTTTGATGGAGATAAATAGAGATTTGTGATCACGGGCCACTGAGGCAGACTTCATCTCCTCAGCAACCCGCGACCACCACCCATCCTTGCAGCGCCTCACGGCTCTCCGAACCTCCGAGCGAAGGCTGCGGTAAGCCTCCTCATTCTCTGACGTGGGATTCTGTAGCCGATGACAGTGGGCCTGTCGCTTTTTCTCAACCATCCTGAACACATCCTCTGTCAGCCAGGGTCTCTGAGGAGGTCTGGACCGCGTACCTAAAGCAGCCATTGCAGCTGCATGAGTCACAGTCCTAAACCTCGCCCACTTACCCTCGACATCAGGAGGAGTCGGGGACGATGCCAATCCCAGCCGCAAGCGATGATGAAATTCTCGCTTGCAACTTTCATCAGATAACTGAGACCAGGCCACTTTAGGTCGGAATGGGGTCCTGGGTGTACACCCACCACCGGAGTGGAAGAATGGCAGGCGCATCTTACAGATGACTAGTCGATGGTCAGAGGGCAGATCAGCTCCACGGTAGGTCCTGGTGTCAAGAACATGGGCTCGCATTCGCTGGTCCGTCACTATGTAGTCCAGCAGATGTTCTTGCTTGGACCCGGCATGCATCCATGATGTTGTGTGGATGCGCCAATTCCGGAACAGCGTGTTGGTAATTACAAGCCCATGGGCTGCACAAAAATCTAGCAGCCTCTTACCGTTGTTATTGAGCTGATCTGGCCCATGCCCTCCAATCACTCCAGACCAGGTGCCAGTATCATGACCAACTCGGGCATTGAAGTCACCCAACATGATGACTCTATCCCGAGGGGCCACTTTAGCCAGCACCTGTGACAGGAGGTCATAGAAGGCATCTGACTCATCGGCTTTGCCTGCATCCCTCCACGGATGTTCATCTTCGGTGGGGGCATAAGTAACCACGACCATTATTCCTCGCCTCCGGTTGATGGGAAGGCGAGCCCAAAGTAGCCTGGGGCTTACAGCTTCCCACACCTCACCGCCACGCTCCCATGCCCCCTTCATTCTTTTGTTCAAAAGAAGACCCACACTCTGTTGTTTGGCAGTCTGCTGCCCCGAGTAGAGGACTGTCCACCCCTCATGGTGGCAGGAGCCAGAGCCGGTCCACCGGACCTCCTGAATGCCGCATAGATCCAGGCGGTACCGGTCCAGCTCCCGACAGAGGAGTGGCAGCCTCTCCTCTGCAGTGAGCGTTCGAACATTCCACGTGGCCACCCGTAGTGGCTTTTCGTTGTTTCTGGAGTAGCCCCGAGGGTAGGTATTCAATCTCCTGGCTCCGCCAATTGGGGTTTGGCCAGGAGACGTCATAGACGCCTGGCCCCCCGGGGCCTCTGGCACAAGCTTATTAGTTACATATTTCAGTTTAACTCGTGGTTTCGTGGTAATTAATTGAAGGTGAAGGGGTTACCAGCCCCTCGCGCCCGTCCAGAGCCCCCGTTTAGCGCCTGTGGTGGACACATATGCCATGAGGGGAGGAGCCAATCAAAATTGGATCTTCCCCCACAGCACTGTCCACGACAGAGTTGCCCGTCCGGCACCGCGAGGAGGTCGGGGGTTGTTTTGCCGGACTACACACACACAGACACACACACACAGACACACACACACAGACACACACAAGACACACACACACGAACACACACACCTGTGGGGGCACGGGCAGGTGAGGAGATGCACACACACACAGACACACGCACACACACAAGACACACACACACATACAGACACACACACATACACACACACACACACCTGTGGGGGCACGCGGAGGTGAGGAGATGCACACACACACATACACACACACAAGACACACACACACACAAGACACACACACACACATACAGACACACACAAGACACACACATACACACACACAC